ACTGCCGAGAAAGATATGAAGACATGATTGATCATCGCAATCAAAACCCAACAGCCTGAAAAAAATTCATTTGTGATCAGCACCCAGTTGGCTTGATATTATAAAAGAATAAAGGAATATCACACCAGAATTAAATAAAACGTTCTGATCACAGTAGTCACTCTAGTGTAATTTGCTCAACAAAATTTTGAATTTTGAATTTTTTTCCTTGATCCGATCCGTGATCCGATCCGTGATCCGGTCGGTGATCCGATCTGTGATCCGGTCCGATCCAGGTTTTGTCCACGCCGGACCAACTGTAAACGTTTGAATTTCGTAATTGGATGATCCAACTTGCAGCATAATTTTTATCTATCCTTTTCGTACATTTGATGAAGCCAGGTATTCACATCATCTTATATACTTTACGTGGACTGCGGTACTGTTACTATCGAAAGCTAAGGTACCGAAAATTATCCGTGATCAACTCTCAGTAAACATGGCCACCAGGTTAATGTTTGGAACACGTGACTTAGTTTGGCCCCGTGAGTAAAGTGTACGAGAGCTCACGCGAGTATGATTACTCTAGCAGTAAGGGTTTGCGGTGATGCGGTTTTTCCTTAGTTCTGGTGCGGTTTTGCGGAAATCTCTATTTTAACCTGTGGTATTGCGGTTTTATAAGACTAAGCGATTTACTCCGACAGGGCGTTTACAAAAAACAAGAAAGAAAACAAATCGCCAAACTAGTACTCTCCGAAAGTTGAATACGTATATAGTAATTTATTACCGGGTGATTTGAAATAAATCCATATTCGGGAACACTTAGCAAGAGAACTCGGATTTTCGTGGCACAGGCCAATGTCTCTTTGAGGCATGGAAACCAGTTAGCGGCACAAGGGTCACTGGGAGAATCAAAATGGTGGAGAACAGTGTGTCTGGTATCGATATATCAATTTCCAGTATTTCGCTGTGAAAATGTCGTTCTGGGCATTTGTAATGTGCCAGGTGGAAACTAGTGAAAGCTTGGAAGGTATATTTCCTGGTGGTCTGATCAAACGTGGTAAAAACCTTCTAAAAAGATTCGATTCACTGTATAAAGTGCCAGGGTCCCCCAAAGTTTTCTGGAGCCCGACAAGTAGTTGGTGAAATTTGGCAGGAGGTGTTCTCCATAAGAGCAATCGTCCCAAAATTTCGCCTAGAGGTATGCAAAATGAAAAAATCGAAAATCCCCAAACTTTG